GAGGTACGATGGTATGCACTTGTCAATTTTTAGTTCGTCCCTATCTAGTTGAAACGACTCAAAGATTACATATGTACCTTGGCATTATTCAGTTTAATAAAACTTTATTGACACATAGTACGTATATCCGGCCGGCGCTGCTCCGATAAAAAGTAAGAACTTAAGTATGACTAAAATTATCATAAACTCGTGTTTTCAGGTCGGAAACACTTTTATTATACTGTTACGTGCCAACTAGTAACTACTACAGTTGTTGAAATGTAGGAAGTAAATTGTTGCGGTTAAGCCTTGCACGTGACGGAAGTTTACATAATTCTATATTGTACATTTGTGGTGTTATTTAACATAACAGCACAAATCTAAACTATATTATTTTAGGATTATTCATATACGTAGTCATATATCTATCATCGCACGCCGCTCATGGTCACGCACTCGATATTACTATCATTGATATTATTACCTACTATTAATATGTACTCGAGGAAGCATTCGAGTATAATAGGTATTTATATTTACGCGACGCGTATACATTGTAATGTGTCTTTAGACGAACCATGTAGCAAGATAGTATTTATATTTACGCGACGAGTATAGTATATTATAATTACGTATACCTATTACCTACATTATAGTGTCTTTTTAGACAAGCCATGTGGCAAGATAGTCACAGCTCGCTCCAATACATTGACACCACGATTTAAGATATACCTTAAATATCTTAAATCATGATTGACACAAACATAAATTATCACTTATTTTAAAAATACTTGGTCCGTACTACTCGCAATCGTCGTACCTACGTTCTCGCCGAATCACTCAGCGACAACGGGACTGCCCGTGCCTGCGCGTACGGTGGTATTATCAGGCCCGGATTAACACTATCGTAGGCCCTAGGCAGAGTACATTTAGTGCATAAACACTGATAGGTGCCTGCAATGTCCAGTGTTTAAATGGTTAAAAAACCTGTTCTGGAGAGGAAGTGTCGAATCTTAGTGTTAATCCTTTAAAAACAAAAATCAAATTTAAACTTTTATTACTTTTTATGTGATTTAACAGATCTTAAAAACCTTTTACTCCAAATATATACAGTTAAATTGTTAAAAACCAATGATGGTCATTAACGAGTTAAAAAGTTAAAGTTGAGTTAAAATTTTAAAAAGTTAATTTAATTTAAACTTTTTAACTTAACGTCTAACGATATTATTTATAATTATTATTTCCTAAAAAATTTTAAACAGTAATAAATACATAATATTTTACTTGTTGTGCTTACGTGCAGGTACAGATTTACTTATAATAATAAAAATAAGAACATAAAATAGGTATTACAAAAAAATCGTAGTCACACATTTTATTTTCGTAGGCCCCAAAAAGTTTGTAGGCCCTATAGGCACAGTGCCTATAGTGCCTATGCGCTAATACGGCCCTGGGTATTATAAGGAAAATATTATCCCTGCCTCAGCGCATCTTGCTTCGCTGCCCTGACCCGTGTCAATGATTTACGATTTGAAATTTTCCCACCCATATTATGTGTACATTACTGCAGTGACGACTGTCTCAACACACGACAGTACTTAGCAATAATTATTAAGATAGCTCAAGACCTATTTGGGTATGAGTTGGTAAGTTTTGAATATCATACCATAGTAGCAAATTTGTTCAAAATTTTAGTTTGCCCCTTAAATTACTGATAACTGATAATCAACATGTTATCTAATATCCACGTTATGAGCACGATATCCACTGCGCAAGCGCATCACGAGCGGTGCATTCCCGTATTTATCCTGTCTTTATCGTGTCGTACTGTCGTGTAATCTTTCTGCTCGCATGCTAGTTAATAATTAAATATATATATATAATGTACTATTCATTGATACGTTCTTATTAGTTCTTTAGTAGAGTGCCTTGATGGAGATTGATTGATCTCTATCAAGGCACTCTAGTTCTTAGTAGTTTTATTATCTTTTTAAATGCCCTACAAAATAATATGACGTATCGATTTTTTGGTCTTTTGTTTGTTTTCGATCGCACGCCATCGACGTAATATTTATGACTAGAGATGTATAGCCGTGCTTTACTGCCATTATCTGTTCAATAATCTCAGGCAGTTGGATTCAAAATATATTTTTGGTAAGATGATTATTATTATGTATACTAATATAGGATATAATAATATATTGTATGGAGTGAATCATTTAACCATTTAACAGTAGGGGACACTTATTATTCAAAAAAGTAAAAATGTTTTTTAAAATATTTTTTTACATGGTTTCAAGTCGTTACATTGCAATGTTTTTATTCGAAAATTCAGTTTTTTACTTTTTTGATTACAACACAATTTTAATTAATTTCATTTCGAAAGCAGAATATTTTTCTGAGTTTGATACATAAAAATCGAATTTAGAGTTTATGAGTTTATAGTACTTAAAGTTTAGATGGAATAGTGGAATAACGTTTTGCGAGGTAACCGCGTACCACTTCGTTCCACTCATCTAAATTTTAAATACCTAACTCGTAAACTGCCTGTCCTAAATTCGATTTTTATGTATCGAAATTCTTAGAAAAATTATTATAATTTCAAGACCAATAAAAAGAAAATAATATCAATATTGAAACATATGCATATATTTTTTAAAAATAATGTTGTTTTTTTATGACTTGAAGCCATGTAAAATCTTTTCTTTCAAAAACATTTATACTTTTTGAAATCATGAGTTTTCAATGATAAAAGAAACGCCCAGTTTATTATAATATATTGATATATTTAAGTAAAGTTAAACAACCATGACTTTTCATGTTTACCTCAGTAAAAGACAGGAAAAAAATAGTAACTTTGGTTTAAAATGTGTGTACATCCAGTTGTATAGACTTTACTGACCATTCATAGTGTTAGGTTGTTGCAGTCTAGACGACCATACACGTTTAACCGGATGAAACGCGGCCTTTGACATATTATAATATAGTAAAAAGATTTTATTGATTCTGTGAATAATATCTCTAATTGTCAATTACTAACTTATGTAAGCAAGGTCAACAAAAATAATTGATCATATAACTAAGCTTTTTGTTTCATTGTTTTGTTTACTGGCCCAAGTTTATTACTCCCTGATTGATAGAGCCTTCTTTTTTTTTAATTCACTTAAAAGGGTCAGAAAATAAGTTGTTATCTTAAAAATGTTATATGACTGTCATATCCTCTTTGATAAAAACAAATGAATCATAGTTTGGTTTTATTTATTGCCAAGGAACTTTTGATGAGTAATAGACAAAACAAATATCAAGTCTTACGCAATTGCGAGGATTCATTATTGTTTATGACAATTTTACTCTTAAATATGTCAAATTTGCATTATGCACTCTGTATGCATACCTATTAGGTACCTACTTTAGTATATAGAGTGAGTCACTCTAAACATACCAATTATTTCATAGATGTTAATTAAAACTTGTAGGTGAATTATTATTTTTATTTATTGTACATAGGTATTATATCTCCATTTATATTATTTATATCTACATTCTACAAAACCTTTTACTTATTAGACAGATAATATTAAACTCTTGGTTTTGAATTTTTGAGAAATGTTTGGATATTTTATTTGTTTATCAATTTTTAAAACTGGTTAAATAATTTAATCAATTTGTTTTTTTAACGAAATATTATCTTTTGAACATTAAACAACTGCTGCAATTTTTACTTCCATCTTGAATCACTAACTGGTTTCTTGATCCATTTGTTTTTGTTTTCATCAATTACCTTGTGCACCCCGTTGTGCACTAACTACCTAGTCAAGTACCACTTTATATTTTTATTATGAATCATTTGATACAATTATTGATATAATTTCTCAAATTTGTATCAAATTGATTTATCGTACTAGGAAATTGTATTATTTAAATTTCATAGAAAATTAGAAAATTGTTTAATAATTTCACTTATAAAATTATTTTCAGGTATTGCTGCCATGTTTACAGTATTTTCAAGCTTTGTTTTTAGTACCATAGTAATACATTACTAAAATGGACACTTAAAGTAAGTTTAAGTAATTTGTTAAGGATAAATATGATAAAAATTATTGACTTGTGGTACCTACCTATAAACACTATTTATTTTTTTGTTACAGAGATGTTCCGACATGTTCCTAGTCCTATTAGTTTTACTTGTTAACTCAAAAAAAGCCAGTTTGTTGGCACAATTTGCACTAAGTGGCTGCTCACAGACCGAAGTAATCAATACTACATCTAAAAGCATGTCATTGCTAGGTCCATCATTTTCTTTGTACTCAATTGTATGTAGTCTTGTTATCAGTGTCGGCATGTTGAAAGGTGTCCAACATTTAGAAACACTGTGTATGTTTACATGCATGTCATTCATTGTGAACTATGTGGTAATCATGATTTTTATCCAGCTTGTTTATCCTTGGTATTGGATGTAAGTTATTTTTTTAAATTTATATATTAATATTATTTAACATTTGGTAGCTCGGGTATGCAGCAATAGTTTTTCTGACAATGTATTGTATAATTAACAGTTACTTAGAAGAGGAGATGAAAATAGTATGCCGTTTTGGGGTGAACGTTCTCAGATAACTGCTTCATGAGTTCATGACCCAATCACACAAAGCATTAAGGTGATAATGTCAGTGGGTGTAATGATTGTTCACGTACAGAGGTACAATTTCATTCATAGCTTTAACAATAGGGTCTAGGATTTCCATAAGAAACACTACCTACCTTTACTTATTCTTTAGTGATCCATATTTTACTGTTTGTGTATTTATATATATATATTTATTTATTTATACAGAAAAATAGTTTTTATTTTCTTAGAATAGAAAAATTTAAATAAAAATTAGGACAATAGAATGTATTCTTATAACATTTGTATGGTTATATGTTTTCTTAGAAAGGAGAACATTCAGTTTGCCTTCATTTGTCTGTAATATTTCAAACTTGAAACTTGTTCACTACATTTTAGTCGATGAGCATTGAGTGGTATGGAAACTAAAGCAGATAATATGTTAGGAGTACAAGTTACCAAGTTTGCTGTATTTAATGAAACCGAAGAGAATTACCATCGTTCTGTTCATATCTCTATTGTGCAGTAAGTGTGAATGTCTGTAAATAACTTATTTATTCACATCAATTACGTTAAAACAATGTCATTGTATGAATCTAATATTAACCTTTTTTTTTTGCCATAGTTGGATGTCTAGTCATATAGTTATATTGATACTTTTACTATTAATGATAGTTTGGTTTTGGTTCTTTGGAGACCGTGATGATCTAGCTTATACCTTAGCCCAGGTGAATAAAAAACAGTCAACAAACGAATCCGGTGAGTACAATTTTAAAATACGTATACTGTATAGTAAATATTGGGGTAAATATGAATAGACATTGTATTTAGCAGTATTATATTTTTATTCTAGTCTTGACCTTTCAAAATTTCAAATATTTTTATTGTTAATAATCGTTCATTTTAAAGCATTATACTATAATAATTTATAAATATTATCAATAAATACAATTTCAATAGTATATTTATTCAAACTATTTAAAAAAAAATAAAAGACGCCCATAATATTTTTATTTTTTACATACAGGTCATTCAGTACATGCCCATGAAACCCAAAAAGATTTTAAACATACACATAGCCAAACTGGGTATCGAAAAGCATCAGTTTATACTTCCAACGAAATGGTTCAAACAGAAAATGTTGATGGTGACAACAATGTGGAAATCAGGACTTTTGATGAATGTTTAGATATTTTTAAGACTCAGGTAAATATTTAATACTTTTACAATAATCTTGGTATTACATAATTTTTTTCAGTCAGTATTTATAATTATTCTCAACTTATAAATATATGCATATATTGCATATGTTTAGTGAAGATAATTTTTTTACATGAAAAAAGTTATTAAACAAACATTTCCCCTGTATATCTTTTTATGCAGTACAATATAATATAATTGTTTAATATTTTAAATGTATTTAAAATTAAGTCATATCCACATAATAATATGTTGTGTGTGTCTTACGTATAGACATAACCAAATTTGTAATTCAGCTGTTCCAATTTTTTGCAGTTAAATTTAATATTATAGTGAATTCTGTATTGTCTTATTGGTTTTTTTGTAATGTTTTAATTTTGAAGTAAGTTATGAGTATTTTTAAATTTTAATATTTTATACACTCATTACATAATTAAAAATTAAAATATCGTAAAAACCAACAAGAGGATTCACATAATGTTCATATCTGAACGTTTTATAATAAATCAAGTTATCTAATATTTAATTCAACCCAAAATTGAAACTATTAAACATAAGTTTTGATATGTTATGAGTTAGTAAGATGGATACAAGTATACAACACATGCGTGTATTATGTATACAATTTTTAAGAAAAAAAATTGTTTTAAGGAAGGCATTTCGTGAATCCTCTTAAATTAAATACTTATCATATGCATCAAAAGCGCTCGTTTTAACATTATTAATAATGTCTCATTAATCAAATCATTAATTTTATAATTACAATTAATATTTAAATTACTAATAAATATTTAGATTTATTTTTATTTACATAAGATTTAATTAAATCTATAATTATTATATATATTTATTGGGCTTATTTATGTAATTATGTTAACATTTTAAAAATGAAGTTATTAATTTCCAAGGCTGGCATTAACGAGTTAAAAAGTTAATTTTATTTTAACTCTTTAACTTAACTAGTTACTTTTGGATTTTCATTAACTTGACTGTTAACTTACTATATTTCTTTTTTAATTAACGTGAAATTAACGAGTTAATTTTTCATTTCAAGAAGTAAGTTAAGTTAATTTATTTTGTTTTTTATTTAATTATATTTCACTAATTCAGTCTATTTTGTTTTCATTTCAAAAAATATGGATCGTAAATTATTTAAAGTTAAAAATGTATACCATTTGAATTTAACTTATATGGAAATACTGTATAAAGTCTATAATTTAGTTATGGGTTGGAAATGAAGTACTCCAGCTTTGTAAAAACAAATTAACTTTTTTTTAACTTAAAAAGTTAACAAAACGTGTGTATTAACTTTTAACTTAACTGAGTTAAAAAAAAATCATTAACTTGCCCAGCCTTGTTAATTTCTATTAACTACAATCATATAGTTATGGGGATTTTTATATTTAGTTAGTGTGCGTATGTGAATGAGGTTAAGTTGTATTATTTAGTCATATAATAGCAATATTATTATGTATTATAGTTCATCGAATTTAAAGTAAAAAAGCTTAATATTTTTAATTAGTTTAAGCATATATTGTGTAATAAGTAATTGCTAATTACACTAATTATTTTTATGGTATAAACTATTAAAAATAATTATTAATATTGATTGTGTTATCCTTAGTGTGTTGTTTTTACTATTTTAGCCAACTCATATTATTTTATTAATATTAACTCTATTAAAAATATTTATGTTACAAGTAGGTACATAACTTTCTTTTGTACTTCCAAACTTTTATTATATAAAAAATACATAGTGGAACATAATAAGGAATTAAACATGTACCATCCATAAAGTGTTATCTTTGCCATTCATACTTTATAATGGGTTATGATAAATAAACATATTTATTATTTAGAAATCGGCTGAACAATTAAATGATAATGAAGTATTAATGTTAGTGAAATCAAACCATATAAAACCGTACATGTTGGAAAAATGTGTCAATAACCCAGAGAGGGGTGTTGGTCTTAGAAGAAAAATAATTGCAACACAAAGCAATCTGACGGAAGCCTTAATAGAATTACCTTACATTGGTTATGATTATTCTAAAGTAAGGAACAACTGATCAATTATATAGTAGAGACTAGGGAATTATCTTCTGTATGACTGTATTATTGAAATTTCTTCTAGGTACTTGGAACCAATTGCGAGAACGTTATAGGATATGTAGCTGTGCCTGTTGGAGTAGCTGGACCATTACTTGTGGATGATGCGTTTTATCAAGTACCCATGGCGACTACTGAAGGTTGCTTAGTGGCCAGTACAAACAGAGGATGTAGAGCACTGACAATATGCGGTGGTGTAATAACTAAAGTTGTCGATGATGGTATGACTAGAGGACCCGTTGTTCGATTTTCTTCAGTTACTACTGCTAGGTATGTATGTGGTTTTCCATTCAGCTATTGAGAATATTGTTAAGTAATAATTTTTTTTACAACATATTAGCGAAGCAAAAATGTGGATGGACAATCCAGAAAAGTTCAAAATAATTAAGTCGGCATTTGATTCAACTAGCAGATTTGCAAGACTCACAAAATTACTTGTGCGTATTGCTGGTCGATATCTGTTTATTCGGTTTACAGCTTCTACGGGTGATGCAATGGGCATGAATATGTTATCCAAAGTAAAAAAAAAAAAACATTATTTAATATTTTGTTAAATAATGTCACATCAACCCTTAAATTAAATTTAAATAATACTTATTTTAATGTTTTTAATAGGGAACAGAAAAATCACTCAAAATCATCGGAGGATACTTCCCCGACATGGAAGTTTTAAGTTTGAGTGGTAATTTTTGTTCAGACAAAAAGCCAGCAGCAGTCAACTGGTATAAAATTTTTAAAAACTCTATGCATTTTTCCATTATATTATTTACGTTTTTTTCTTATATAGGATTGAAGGCCGTGGAAAATATGTTGTTAGTGAAGCAATTGTACCTTCAAAAATTGTCACTGAGGTACTGAAAACTACTGTAGCAGCATTGGTTGATGTTAACATAAGCAAAAACTTGATGGGATCAGCTATTGCTGGTAGTATTGGAGGAAATAATGCACATGCAGCCAATATTGTTACAGCTGTATACATTGCTACAGGACAAGTAAATAAACAACTATTTTTTTCAACAAAATATTACTAGCTGATCCCGCTCACTTTGTTGCCCGTAAAAAATTGTGATTGTTCAACTCCTTTTGGGTGTAACTCGTTGCAGTAAGTGCCACTCGGACATTATCATTTTAAGGGGATTCGATACCGTGTTTTTCTGTTTTTGTCTAACACACGCGCGACATAGTATTTTACATACGATTAGACATAACATTCCAATTGATCTATTGAAGCGATAAGATTTCTGAAAACAGATTTGAATTTGTCGTCAAGTCTACTTGAAATCGACTTTCCAACATTTTTGATTTTTTGATTTTAACTTCTCCAAAAATTAAAATACCAGAACTTTTAAATACTCTTTTTGAATATGACATTTTTTAAAATTTGGGGAATAATATCAAAAATGTGGGAAAGTCAATTTCAAGTAGACTTGACGACAAATTCAAATCTGTTTTCAGAATTCTAATCACTTCATTACATCAATTGGTATGTTTGGCAAAAAATACGTGTAAAATACTATGTCGCGCATGTGTTAGACAAAAACAGAAAATCACTTTATCGAATCCCCTTAACAATGTGCGACAGCATATCATGTAGGTAACGACACGCTGATGAGCGGCTTTAATTGCAACTCAGCCACCTTTGTAGGCAAGGTGTGAAAATTTGATTTGATGCATGCTTGTACCTGATCTGCCTGATAACCAATAGCAATCGTTTATAAGCAAAAATGTCCATCGTAAATCTTCCTGTTTGAGCACCTCCGAGGGTTGGACCTACCTAACCTTTCTCTTGAATCACTATCAATTAAAAAAAACCTCATCAAAATCCGTTGTGTAGTTTTACAGATCTAAGCATACAGACAGACAGCGGGACTTGGTTTTATACAATGTTAAGATAACATTATAATATTTTAGCCATATATTTAATTATTTGCCTCAATCTTTAAGGATCCAGCTCAAAATGTGGCTAGCAGCAATTGCATGACACTGATGGAAGCATGTGGTGAAGACCTGTATGTATCATGTACAATGCCTTCGGTTGAGATTGGTACAGTAGGTGGAGGAACTTCATTACCTGGTCAATCTGCGTGTTTGGAAATGCTTGGCGTACGAGGTGCAAACTCTCAAACCCCTGGGGCCAACGCTAAACGATTAGCACGTATACTGTGTGCAACAGTTTTAGCTGGCGAACTGTCGCTGATGTCGGCTCTGACTGCTGGTCATTTAGTAAAAAGTCACATGATTCACAATCGGTAAGGGTTTTGTTTTTATTTGTTTGATTATCTATAATAGCTATTTTAATTATTCGCATTTTTAAAAAACAATACCTATCATATGGAATTTTTGGAAAAACAAGACAACATTGTTTGCCCAAATGAGTGTAGTGATATTTAACACTATTTGGATACAATTTTATAAATAAACTTTTGTTACCTTGCTTATTGCACAAAATGGGAACCACAATTTAAGAACTAAAACTAACTATTTTTTTTCACAGGTCTGCTCCTTCCATTCAGAATTTAGAATCTGAACCATCCGAATCAAACAGACAATTTACAAACTGTGTGTCTTGAGTGACGTGAAATTAATTAATTTTTCTTCATACTTCTTACTTAATTCTATTTTGTTAGAATTTATGTTGTATATAAACAAATGACATTTATTGAACAGTCAATATTTTCTGTGAGATGATGTTTTTTTTCTCAGTATTTTGTCAACAACACAAAGAAATCAAAATATTGTGAAATGGATAAATGAAATATATAAAAAAAAAAAAACAGTTTATTTTTATTGTCATTTTAAGTTCAAATTTGGACGAAATTACATAATAAAAAACCTAGAATAACTATTTTAGTTATATTGTTGTGATTGTATAATATAATTCGTGGGTACTTGAAAGTTCTAAAGTACACTATTATATATCTATGATTATTATATATCATGGTTTGTCGTTGATGTATAACGCGTTATAAGTACCTAATGGTTATTGTGATATGATTAATTTGGAATTTATTATACCTACCTATTATAGGTAAATTTTTTTTAATACCATAGATAAGTACATAATATGTCTTATACCCACGATTTAAGATAATATGGTTGCCCAACAAGGTATTTTAAGACGGCATTGGATGAAGTAAATATTATCTATAAATACAAACATTTTTTACTACACCTATAATGTATATTGAGGAATCTAATAAATACCTATCTAGTAACTGTATTACTGTGCCAAGTTTTCTAAACAGATTTTTATAATATTTGGTCAATGGTCATATAAATATCATCATTACGACATTACATAGGTACCGCTTGTTTTTGTTTATTAGCCGGAAAAACTACAGGTACATATATTTCTTGTTTAAAACACCTCAGTGAAAAATGTAGGGCTATACATTGTGATTTTAAGCCATTATCAGCGATTTTTAAAAAGTCATCCATTGCGTTTGTAACTTTATTTGGCCAAACATTAAAATAGGTATTATATAGATGCCCATTCCACATATCACAAGCTTAGTATAGGAATAGGTATAAGACACAATGGATTAAGTGTAGACTACAAAACAAAAGATTCGGACATAAGCAAATGGTTGATTAATTGTTATGGACTACTCTTAGAGCCGGAAAATGTGTCAGAGTATTTTACTTTAACAATAATATAAACGTGATGATAATCGAGTTGCTAAATTCACAGATAATTTAATCGATACATAGATAGGAGAAGATCCTATTTTTCCGCTTATGTGTGGGCCTGAGCATTAGTTGATAGTTAATACAACAATTAGAGCATGTCAATCATTTCATGCACATTTTAATTCAAGTTTCAATTCAACTCACCCCAATAATTATAATAATATATTCCGTAATTACAAAATTAAAAGAAGTACAAACAGAAACGTACATTAAAATCAATAGCCTAAATTCACCGTTACAAATTAAAAAAAAAAAATTCTTAGAAAGAAAACTTACAAAATACAAGAATAAGGAAATTTTCGTGAGTGAATACGCCAAAAACATAGTTTTGTATTATAACCTTATATTATTAGTTATTACACTACAGTTTTACTTATATTTTTATTTTTTACACTTACAATTTTACATGAATACATTTTACTTATATTTTTTAATACTGAAACATAATACTCATAGGCGTGACTAGACATAATCCTCAGCTGCAGCCTATAGAGTCCGAATTTTCTTAAAGCCCCAACAACAATTAAATATTTTACATAATTTAAATAATCTGCAGTATTATACTGTTATCTATTTTAAATTTAACTGCAAAATTATTTTCATTCATAGTACACTAATGTTTACATCACCTAGCTACAAATTATAAAATAATAAAACAATATTATACAATAATAGGTGCCGTCCTGTGTCTTGTTGGTATCAGCCCGGCCCAGACGGCTAGGAGGCGATCGCCTCCGAGGACCGTCCCGTATTTTTCAAGAAATAAATGAAATTACGAAAAATTACCTACTCTATGTAGCCTAGTGGTATGCATTTTTATCTATTAAATAATTTTATAATAATAATATAATATAGGTACATTTTATTATTTTAATGATACTAAAATTATAATATCTTAGTCCGTGGTAATAAAAAAATGATGTGATAATTTTGGAATCTATGATTATGTTAAAATACGTACTGTGATGTTTGATGGATATTATGTTGCTATATATAAATTTATATATATGTATATCGATCAATATTATGTGATATATATCTATAAAACGTTTTTAAATTATGTTTTTGAGTTTTGGTATTTTTGAGAGGCCCTTTGAATAATTTGCCTCCTGGGCCCTTTAGATCCCAGGCCGACTCTGGTCTTAAGTCTTCGTTATTTAGGTTGTTCCGAAATCGGGAAATCACCTAGACAATATATGTTATTAATAAAAATAAATATAAAATAATAATAGGATCTACCTAATTTTGTCGAACATATCTCTATAAGTAAATAGTAATTTATTATAATAATGCATCAAAGAATTTTTTTTTTTTAATACAATTTGTAATCTTTCCAGAGCACGATTATAATCGTTTCTTTATAATCGTGTTACAGAGTTTAGCCTGTACCAAGATTAAAGATATATCTATATAATATAATATCTTTAGTCATGGCCCGTACAGAGATATTCATTTCACATTTTTATAGTTATTCCATTGTATATCAATAATAATAATATATAATAATATTTTTAATGAGTTCAGCGTTCTCTGCCGTAC